AAGTGGACTAATCACTCCTTGTGGTGAATATTGAAGTCTATAACAAATATGAAAAACTATCTGAGAGATACTCAGTGAGGATATTATTATTCATCTCAGTTATTCAACCGAACATTATAGTTCCATCATCCTGAAGAGGATAGTGAAAATAAAAGTCGTACTGTGGACCAAGTGTCCCATGGAAGCACATATACAGATCAGAGTCCTCGTTTTTGGGGTTTCTACCACATAGGAACCTGTCCTTAATATAGGTGCTGTGTCTATGTCCTTAGCGATTTTGATGGTCACCTTTTGTTGTTAGGGGTGAGTAATAATAAAACCCTCCTTATGAACCACAACAGGATGTAAGTTTTTTTTCTTCTGTCCAATCTGAAGGAAGATAATGAGTAACATAGGATCATAAGTTTCTGTCCTGGGATAGATGGATGGAGACCAGTTTCAGACATGTTTGGCGTTGAGAAGATGGAGTTTCACCTCTGGAATGTTGGAAACTAGACCCCTCACATTGGTGTAGAAGATGGTGAATCTGGGGGTACTTTTGTTTTGGTGAGGTTGGGATTGATTTTTATATTCAATCCCATAGATTATTCTTAAGTAGATACTGTCATGTACTTCCTAAAAAAAAACACATTTAAAATAATTTAAGTGCCTTCTTTAAACTTAAAATTCAATTTTATTTTAAATATAATAACCTAATGTTAAGCATTTGTAATGCATCAAACTGCCATCTTAAACAAAAAAATGTAAACAACAAATTTAAAAATCTCTTAAAAATCCAATATTTATCCTAGAGATATGCTTCAAAGCCATTTAGTAAATTTAAGGATTAATTAACTGGATTTTGTAAAAATAATGTTTACTCTTAAAATTAAACTTAACAAAATTAACGTTTATTTACATACAATAGCATGTGGAGTTGTAGGTCAAAAATAATAAAAAAAAATACAATTACACCCCTGACTTTTAAGTCAGGGGTGTAATTGTATTGTGTAATTGCATAAAAAATTAATAAAATTTAAAGGAATATGGGACACCAGCAGTGCAATAATGAAGACATTTGTATTTATGTTTGAAAATAAATTATCTTTAACCTTTTATAACCAATAGTTTAAGAATATAATTTGATTATATGATTTTATTAAATTTAGTAGAATGAATAATTTTATTTTGTATACTACATTAGTAGGATTTATTTTTTTTTTTTTTAGTTAAATTATACTTTTAAATTTAATTTTAATACATTGCTTTTATTTTTGTACCTATTTGATGTCATAAAATATCTAATTGCACACACACACACTTTTTTTTTTTTTTTTTTTTTTTTTTTAATTATTCTGAATTTAAGAGTTATTGAATTATCATATATCATACTACTCTTCTGTTAGGGAAAAATAGCCAAAGGTGGTAATTCAGTATTACTTCCTTTTTGAGCAACCATACCAAAATTAATCTAACAGTTGCTAAAATGAAAAAAAAATTAAAATTCTTTTAAAAATGGGTCACACTCGAAAATGGCATTACATTTTTTGATTCTTCAAACTTGTCTTTATTTAATAATAAAACTCTTCTTATGAACAGCAACAGGATGTAGGTTTTTTTTTCCTGTCCAATCTGAAGGAAGATAATGTGTTTTATTATGCAAGCATTAACTGTCAGAAAAATATTTTTTTGAGTTTTATTGAATTGTTTTTGGTAAGATTTTGGACTAATTTTCTGTATGTTCACATTTGATATTGTATAATTTTTTATAGAAATAACATCTTTAGGGATTTTCCTTTATATAACAGTAAACAACTCTGATGACCCCCCTCCAATTAAAAAGTATGCACAAGATTATGTCATAAGAGGTGAATCAGACATCCAAAAATATATTTCTACAAAGTTTTCTAATAAAATAATTTTTTTTTTATTTACAATTTCATTCATTATTGAATAAATCATGAAAATTTTGTTTGAATTGAATAATTCCTTGATTTTTGACAAATATTTTAAAAGTAAGAGGTAGTGATTTTTTTGCTTTCACTTTAGAAAAAAACGCATCCATTTTTGTGGTATCTGTTGTTAATGGATCCATATAACAAAAGTCTTCTGAATGTTTGAAAAATTGGGGAAATTTCTTGACATATTTATGGATTTTTTTTAGTTGATTAAAACTGATGAAGAAATTTAATGATTAAAAAAAAATTATCTTTAAAATGTAAACCATTTAAAATTTGACAATAATGAACTGTGTTAATTCTAATCAGAATAATCTTTATTATAATTAATATAGTTCATTATTGTTTTTATTTTATTTTTTTTATTGGTTCTTGTTTAGATAGAAGAGGTTCATTTTAGTCAGTTTTTATGTCCTTACTTAACAGAAGATAATATTTAACATTTAGTAAACATAAAATCTTTTGATTGTTATTTATCACATGCTTATTAAATAAGTAAAATTATACACTATAAATACAATCTGCTTGATACCCACAGTCTGTATGATTACAACCTTACAACTACTACTACCACTGCTGACATCATCCTCCTACCATTTTACTAGACAGCCAAAATGAAAAATGTTGAATTACTAGATTATCAAGGATAAGATATGAGATTCATTATCACTTATAATTGAGATACAATATAGTGGGAGGTGGCAAAACATGGGAAGCAGCAGTCTGTTGATGGGGAGGATTCTGAAGGTCCTCCTGTACAGGTCACTGGCTCGAGGGTAACCTCATCTTCACTTCAAGGGCATCTGCAAAAGGGACATGAAGGTGATGGACATGGATATCATGAGGTGTGAAGATGTCGCCAATGATTGCTGATGCTGGAGACATGATTTACTGTAAGGGCTGGAGTGAGGAAAGAAGAAACAGAGACTTGCTGCCGAGTAAAAGCATGCTCAAAGGAAAGAAAATCAAAATGGCAACATTAGGGGAGAGCGTCTTCACATGCATTCATTGCAATTGAGACTGTCACTTCCATTTATGGCCATAAGAGATGCTGTGCTACCATCAGCAGATCAGGCATAACTTTTAGGGTAGAGATCTATGGTCTCTCAAGACCAATGTATGCCACATACGTTTAGTGGGAGGGTAATACAAAACTTCTCCTCGGTATAACTGCTTACAAGTAATGCAGAATAAAAATCAAATAAAACCATGGTCAGCTATTGACAGTAATAACATTGTGACTGAGCCAATATTGAATGCTGAACTCAACAATTCTGTGTACCAAACTTTAACAACTTGGTACACAGCTCAAACAGATTTGGAACAACCAATAAGTACACATTTGGTTATAAAGATTTAACTTAATCATCCAACAAGTACAACAACGCAGGAAATAGAGAAGCTGGCGATGTAAAAGAATAACAGAAACTGTTCTTAACAACATAATAAAGTTTATCATAGATGAAGCTTCCAAATAATTTTGTTTGAACATTACAGCTGTCTAACCAAATTTATATTATGTACTTACTTAAAATATTCTTGATGTAAATTAATTTTTAATCTGACTGTTTTCATACTCAATATACATAAAGTGGAAATGGATTCAGTATGAATGATTCAAAAAGAGGCAAAAATTACCTTATGATGTAAAAGAACATATTTCATTTCAATAGAAAGAATATCCTAGACAATACTGTGCTTTATTTCAGCCATCACTTGACTCAACCTTAGTTGATAATTTTGTTTATTTTATATAGAATATAAATTAATCTTGGAATTACTTTGGTTGTGCTTAACATAGGCTTACAAGATTGAAAAATTATGATAATAAATAATTGAAAAAATGCATAAAAATAAAAGCTGATAAAAGAGTAATAAACCTAATATGTCATGGAAGAAAAATATTTATAGAAAATATATTAAATGATGGCAAAAATTGATTAAAGAAAGAGAAAATGCCTAAGATTTCAGTCAGTAATGAAAATTACCCTTAAAAATGATAATGGCATTTATTAAAAGCAAAGATATACCCATTTAGTTCCTATAATTAAAAGTTTGGTTTACAAAATTCCAACTAAGAGATACAAATTTAAACATTGGAAAATAATCAACATCTTTAATGTATTTCTATTTAACTTTGGATTTTCCAAACTTTTTTTTAATGCTTTTACAAAGAGCAAATATTTTAATGCTTTTACAAAGAGCAAATATTTACATATGAAAAAGAACAAACACTACATTTGAATATTTAACATAGAAAAACTGTTGAGGAGCAGAAATTTTCCACTGGACATTTGAACATTTTTGATAGAAAAGTTTATCAGTGAATATTTATTCAAAGTATTATACAATAGGAGAAAAGCATAGCTTGAAGAAGATGGCTTAACAAGAAGAGTTATTCTAGCTGGTATAAAATGGCCAGTCACCAGAGTGTGAGTTATGAGAATCAGAGTTCAGTTACTCATGAGACATTTATGGATATTAAATTAGAAATATCAAAATAGAAATTGGTACATTTGAGTATTATTGGGTGCATCTCTTTTCCAGCTAATATGTTAGGAAATTTGTACAGTTTGGTTTTGTTTAATTGAAATATGCAGAAGATTCTGGAGCCCATCTTTAATAATTCCAGAAAATAATGAAATATTTTTATTATCAGAATATCAGGAATTTGTAAAGTTTGAAAAATGATTTTGTGTCTATCTTTCTCTTTCCATAAAATCTCTTCAGTTTTGCTCTTGTTGGGTGTCATCAGTGAACATTATATGATATTTTTATGTAATTTCCACTTCTTTTTAAAAGGTTAGCAGTGTCTATTATGTCAGACATTTATCTTCTTCAATGTTGTATACTTTATTGTTTTCTTTATGATCTTTATATAACATCTCAATATGAATTGAAGTAAAATGTTTTTAGAAAGTTTTTATTTGAGTGAGTATAAGCTCATACAGCAATTCAAAAAAATATAAATTGGACAAAATGTTTCTATCGTTGAAACATTTTGTACAATTTATTATAATTTCTTATTGTTGTTTATGAAAATATTTTTGAATTTCTTTCTAGAAAATCTTGTGATTTCCATTATGTCGTCCCCAGAAGTTGAAAAATTTGAAGTGACTGATTATGATTTGGAAAATGAATTTAATCCAAATCGAAGGCAACGTCGACAAACGAAAAACCAAGCCACCTATGGTAAATGAAAATAAGCTTATAATATCTCTTTCTCACTCATATGTGCATGTATCTTCATATAAATATAACATCCACTTGTACATTTACTAAAAACAACTGCTATGTTAGAACTAATTTCTCTTTTTTTTTTTTTTAATTTTGAATTTGCATCTAATAAAGAGCAAATTTTATAACCTTGCTCTTATATCAGCTTTGATAGCATTTTAAATAACCAAATATCAAATTTTGGGAGTAAAGTAATCATTTTTCAGCAACTTCAAAATATAATTTGATTTTTCTAAATACTAGTGTGTGCATGTAATCTTAAAAAGGAAAAATTAAAAAAAAATATTTGAATTATTACTTTTGTTTTTTTTTTTTTTTTTTTTTTACTTCAAATCTTATTTTGTTTCTTTTATATTTGTAAAATAATTTATTTTGTTTTATGTAGGCATCTGGGCTGATCCTGAGAGTGATGAAGAGGAAAAACCTATGTTTGGTAAAACAAATACCAAAAAAGACTATACACTCAATTTTGTCAGTGGTGGATTGAAACAGGCAGAAAAACCAGCTTCAAAAACTGAAGTAAGATTATTATTAATATTATTATTATTATTATTATTATAATATATATTTTTATTAGATGCATACATAACACTTAAATAGATTGTTTGAATCTCATTCATTTGAAGCTGAAGATATTACTACATTAAAGCATAATACATTATTTACATTATTCGGATTATTGTCCTCATCTTTGCCGCCATATTTATTACAACGTTTTGGCCATTGTACGCTCTGGCTTTCTTCAGGTGGTTGGAATGTCGAACTGAACCCTTTATTTCGCTCACTGGGGTAGACTGTTCTAGTTCCACCTGCCATGTTTAATGGATGTCAGCTATCAGTTATCTCCTGTTAATTTCCCTCTGAAAGTTCTCCACTGGGTATCACACTCTTTGGGTCCTGTCACTGGATCTAACTAACGCCTTTATCCACTGTGCCCTGTGTCCTTGAAATATGGTGACAAAGATGAGGACAATAGTCTGAATAATGTAAATAATGTACATAATACCTAATCTCAGAAATATAGACAGATACTAAAGCATAATAGTTGTTATATAAATGCTGAACCAGACTAGCTCATCTGGCAATTAGTGTTGATCCCCATATTAGTTGATTTAATGTTAAGTGAAAGAAATATGACATAGCAACAGGTTCACAGAATCATTTTTATATTTTGTCTTTCCACAGCATTTAAGTTGATTTTATATTCAAAATATACATTGTAGCAAATCACCTTCATTTCCTTCAAATCTTTACAAAGACATTTACATATCTTGCATTATTTACAATGATGTATGGTATTTTTTATGAACATATACAAATTCATTAAGAATAATAATTTGATAAAACTATTAATTTCTGAATCTTGAATTAGACTGAACTCCATCTGTCTTGCATATCTTTAGTGCATACAGATATTAATATTAAAATAATTAATAATTCTATTTGTATGTTTTCTAACATCACTTGAAAAAATTCAAGAAATTTAACCTATTAAAATATGTATTTGCATATTCTCTGAAGATTTCATTATTTGTTAGAAAGTGTTTAAGATTACTATATTTGATGGCATATATGAATCATTATATTTTTTTAAAAAAATGCCAGAAAAGTATCTTCAAGGTCTTAAATACAAAATTGATTTATTTGGTAAACTAATGTTTATCCAGATGCCTTCGACTACTTAGCCTAATTCAATAATACTTTCATAATAAATATAATTGGAGGAGGACTTAAATACAGTGTTTTTTTTATACTAATGTTCATCCAATAAAAGGCCCAAGAGCCACTCAAGGTAGAGTGTTACTGTGTTATGTTGTATGAGCATAAGAGAAGGAAAGAAGTGAAGTTCATGGAGTTATGGAGGAAAGATAAGTTAACCCTAGACTTGAAGATGTCAAGATTATAGTGCCAGAATTCTGTTTGACAGAGTAGCAATTCTTAGGAAGAAGTTGTCCGAATTAAATTTAGTTCTTACTAATGAAATACAAAGGGAATGGGGATGATTCACGTTTGTGTATGTGGCATGGTGGGGGTCCCAGTTATAAAGGTCAGGAGGTGGTGGCACTAAGGAATGTATCTCGTCAGGAGACATGCCATGGAAATATTGATAGAGCAGTGACAGGCTTACAACATTTCATCTGTGGTTAAAGGATTTGTAGGCTTCATTAGCCACAAGGCCTTTTGAACACTTTTGAACTTTTATCAAGACAAGCAAGTGAGGTTTGGGCAGCTCCAGTCCAGATATGGTAGTATTACTCCATTTTTGGTCTGATCTGGCTTTTGTAAAGATAGAGTTTAGTAGGAGGAGTCAGATACTTACTGGAATGGTACAATGAACCGACCATTTTTCCAGCATCTTTAGCAAAAGATCTTATGTATGAGTTCCACTTGAGGCTTAGGGTGGGCTTGATTCCCAATAGACGTTCAGGAACCTCCTTGATGAAAGTTCAGGGTTTGCTTGGTGGTGGTGTAACATTACTATAGTTTTGGATATATAGAATTTTACAAGCAAATCCTTCCCCTATTGAGCCACTAGGGTTAGGTCAAAGGAGAGATAAGCTGCTAGGTTCTGGTTCTCCAAATTTTTGGAGGTACACCTATAAACTATTATCTGCATAGATAATCATTAATGATCAGAGTATGTTCTTAGGTGGATCATTAATATCCAGTAGAAAGAGTATAGGGCTAAGGAGTTCCTGTGGAACACTGGCATTAATCTTATGGGCTTTTGGTGATTAGCCATTAACAATGACCTTCAGGGACCTGTACATGTCAGGAAGGATTTGATATTTGTAAGAGTTCTTTTAGAGATTCTTAGTTGGAGAGTTTATGTAGCAGTCACCAATGCCACACCATGTCAAAAGGCCTTTGATATATCCAGGGCAATGTTCTTCATGATGAATTTATTATCTAGTGCCTTGCTGGTTCTGTGAATAATGGCAGTTAGGATATCAGCTGTGAATTTAGAAGGTTGAAATCCATACTGGTTATCTCTCAGGAAGTTGTTCCTGTTGAGGTATTCAACAAATTCTTGTTGATTATAGATTCGAAGAATTTAAAGATGACACTAAGGAAGCTAATGACAGGCATGATACTATGACAGGCATGAGCACTCACTCGCATTCTTAAAAACAGGACACACAGTTGAAACATCCCATGAACTTGATAAGCATCTCTCCTTCAAGCAGCTGTTGAACAGTTTTGCCAGCATTGGAGATATAACTCTGTGCTGATATTCTGAGATTTTGTATAAAACAGTAGTCTTCTTAATGTCCAGAAACTTCCTGTGCCATGATAGATATATTACAAAGTTTGTTCTCTGTGAGGAGAGGGAAGTCAGGTAAGGGGTGGTCCTTATTACCTAATATAGAGTTAGAGGCAAAGTTCATTGCAGAAAGTGTTGCCTTGTCATATGAAGATGTAATAACTTCAGTGCCATATATAGTAGCTGGCACAGATGCTTTGCCTCTATTGAGAATTTTATTTGAAATTTTTCAGAACTCACAGGAACCAAGTTTTTGTTTTCAGACTTGATTTGGATTGACTGCACGTAGCTGCTCTTTACATTTTTTAGAACTCTCTTGCATTGATTGCAGGCAGTCCAGAATGGCACGAGAGTCCCACTACACCATTCACTATGGTAGTAGTGGTTACAGTGGTTTATGAATGCAGCACATTCTGGCATGAACCAGGGTTGGCTATTTGATTTCTGTTGGAATATTTTCATTGCTATAAAATTGTCAATACCTGATAGGATCCATTCAGAGATGAGGTTGGCAGTTTTTGAAGCTCTATTTTTGAAGAAATTCGAAAAGTTTGAAACTGTTGATATGCCAAAATTGTTCCGTGAAATGGTACATCAGGGGATGTTTTCAGTTTGGCATCAACTTTAACATTGATCAGGAAATGATCAGAAGAGCCGAAGAGAGACAGTACTTCAGTGGAGCATTTTTTAGGGCAAGATGTGAGAAAGAGGTCAAGGAGATATGTATGATATCCAGTTGTGTCAGGAACATAAGTGGGCTGAACAACTATCAGGTCATAAGTGATACATAAGTTATAACAGTATTTGTGTGATGTCCTTTTGTGACAAAGTTGATAAGCCCTCATGTTCCTGTGACTGGTAAAGGACATCATACAAATGAAAAAAATATGTATCATAGAATCTGATAGTTGATAACCCCTCATGTTCCTATCAGGGTCATAAGTGATACATAAGTTATTATTGTTATTTTGTGTGATGTCCTTTGTGACAGGAACATGAGTGGGCTTATCAACTATCAGGTCATAAGTGATACATAAGTTATGACAGTATTTGTTGATGTCCTTTTGTGACAGGAACATGGAAGGCTTATCAACTATCAGGTCATAAGTGATACATAAGTTATGACAGTATTTGTGTGATGTCCTTTTGTGACAGGAACATGAGTGGGCTTATCAACTATCAGGTCATAAGTGATACATAAGTTATGACAGTATTTGTGTGATGTCCTTTTGTGACAGGAACAAGGGCTTATCAACTATCAGGTCATAAGTGATACATGTTATGACAGTATTTGTGTGATGTCCTTTTGTGACAGGAACATGAGTGGGCTTATCAACTATCAGGTCATAAGTGATACATGTTATGACAGTATTTGTGTGATGTCCTTTTGTGACAGGAACATGAGTGGGCTTATCAACTATCAGGTCATAAGTGATACATAAGTTATGACAGTATTTGTGTGATGTCCTTTTGTGACAGGAACATGAGTGGGCTTATCAACTATCAGGTCATAAGTGATACATGTTATGACAGTATTTGTGTGATGTCCTTTTGTGACAGGAACATGAGTGGGCTTATCAACTATCAGGTCATAAGTGATACATAAGTTATGACAGTATTTGTGTGATGTCCTTTTGTGACAGCAACATGAGTGGGCTTATCAACTATCAGGTCATAAGTGATACATGTTATGACAGTATTTGTGTGATGTCCTTTTGTGACAGCAACATGAGTGGGCTTATCAACTATCAGGTCATAAGTGATACATAAGTTATGACAGTATTTGTGTGATGTCCTTTTGTGACAGCAACATGAGGGCTTATCAACTATCAGGTCATAAGTGATACATGTTATGACAGTATTTGTGTGATGTCCTTTTGTGACAGCAACATGAGTGGGCTTATCAACTATCAGGTCATAAGTGATACATAAGTTATGACAGTATTTGTGTGATGTCCTTTTGTGACAGCAACATGAGTGGATTCATCAATTTAGTTTAGTGGAAGAAATTGCTAAGCAACACAAATGTATTAATTGATATGAGATATACTTAAAACAGTCTCTACTTGTTTAGATTGAAAAAGGGTTCAGTTCAAAATTCTGAGCTTACCAAGTATAACAGGCACCTGAAAAAGACTGGAAGTTACACTGGCCAAAACCTTGTGAATTGAACAACAAAGATGAGAAGACCAATTCAAATAGGAGTGTATATAATCATAATTCCTCATCTTTTAATCAAAGTTTTAAAAGGATATGTATCGCTCTACTTTCTTTATTTTCTTCAACTTTAAGGTGAATCAAACATTTCTAATTAGCTTAATATTTACTTTAGGTAAGCAAATTATTTTTTAAATCATTTTATTGTTGAAAGATTTTGGAAACTTTCATTTTCACTCTGCAATACAATCTTTGAATGTTGTTGATTTCTGATGGTCAGAACTTTTGATATAGTGTAACTCTATGACTGTATGTATCTTTCTGTTAGATATAAACAGTGTTCTGTTCTGTAAGGCATCACAATTCTAACATCAATTTGAAAATACCTATCACTATATAAAGGCTTTTTAGTAACTTTTATTTAGAATGATTATCTGTATATTTCTACTATTGTTAGAAAAATGCTTATTTGCAAAAGGCTTTGTATTTTATCATTCTTTAAATTATATCTGTAAACTGTATAACTTATTTTTCAGGGATCTGATGTAGATTCTGAAGAGGAAGAACCAGAAATCCCAGTGAAGAAGAAGAAAGAACCAGTGGCATTATATGGTCGTTTTGCGGGTACAAAAGATTATGATGAGTAAATAAGGACATTTATTTTATCTTAACAAGTTTAATAGTAATTTCCTTTAGCTTAGGGATCATCAGAATTTATAATTCTATGAAAACACATTTAGAAATCAATATTATAAACTGGATTTTAATTTTTCTTTTTGCTTTAAATTTCTATTTGCCTTGGACAAAAATTTTCATTTTTGCTTTATTATAATAGATATTTTGTATTTTCAGCTTCAGGACTGGTAGTAATGTTTTGGAAAGGTTGAAATAAATTATTATAGACAATATATTTAATTGGTCCAAAATAAAAATATTGTGACCTCTTTCTGGAATTTAGTGTAACCTTAAAAACCTTATTAAACCTTAAAAAAACAGCAGTATGAAATAAAACTGTTGACTAAAACCAAAATGTTTTTTTTTTATTATTTATTAATTCTTATAAAACCTACAATATATAAATTATATCATTATCAATTCTGTTTACCAGGTGATAGATTAGTTTTTGTTGTTTGTGAAAAATGTAAGTAGTCATACATCTCTTTCTTGGCTATAGATTTGTATGATTAAACAATAATCTTAAAAATAGATGAATAGAAATTATTTTATTGCATTAACAGATCTTCACAATACTTTGTGATATATAGATCTCTCAGTATTGCTTGATGATCATTTAGAAAATCAGTCACTGTATTTGTCAGAATAAACTTGCCTTTTAATGACTGATAAAAATGTTGATCTATTATAAAAATCATTTCATATTCTCCTTTCACTTAAAGGAGTATATGAAATGATTTTTTTTAGTATCTAGCTTTCATGTGCAGACTTAATGATTCCAGATGATAAAAGCTGAAAGAGTTCTCTTCATTCAAACTTCCTAAATGGTGTATCTGAGAGAATATGAACATTAATAACAATCCATTATTCTGTAAAAACCTATTTGCAATACATGTGCAGTCAAGTTGTAATCTTGCCATTCAGTTTCATAAAGGAAATCATGTGATAAAAGAGTTGATAATTACTTTGTTGGCATCAAGAACAGCCCCCAGTTTCGACTTGCAAAAATAAAAATGTAGCATAAAATTGGATAAAAGTACCATTTCACTTGTAAAATGCAATATAAAACTTCTGTAAAAAAATACTATATTCAACATCAGAATATACACATATATATATATATATATAGTGTGTGCGTGGCCAAGTGGTTAGAACATTCGCTTTCTGACCATGAGACCCATTGTGGATTTGTTAGAAAGGAGACTTCATGATGTTATCAGTCTGGAGGGGTTGATCTCAGCGTGCACCACCTGTGGAAAGTGCCTGAAAAACCATACCACTGGTTGATCCAAGCTTTGTGAGTGAAATTGGGTAGCCGCCGATAGCTGTGCTAGCACAAAATCACAAGTCATTATTGTGACTGAGGGTTTGAGCATGCTGGCGTTGTTCAGATTGTTGACCATGCTAGATAAAAAAAACAAAAACTAAGGTCTGCTCAGCATAGTTGCAGTATAAACCACAGGTAGGCTCTTTAGGTGTTAAACACAAATGTGCCTGAGCAAGTGTCTGCAATAAGGACTGGCTAGTTGCCCTAGTAGATGGATATCCTCAAATATGAGTGGCCAGCTATATATATATATATATATATATATATATATATATATATAAGCAAATATATGGATATAGATCTGACAGTATGAAGAAAAATATACGTAAAAAAACAAACAAAAATCCTATTATGCAATTATGCTGTTTTAATGTTAATATCGGACGTTTCGGTCTAATAGACCATCTTCAGGACATATTCATAAAACATAATTAACATAGACCATATTCAATTTAACATGAAAAAGACGATGGACATAAAAGCAAGACCAATCCAAACAGATAACTGAAATCTTTTATAAGATCAGCGTTCCGTTTAAATATGATCACGTTGTCGTCACGTGGGTGATGTTGTGAAAACGTATTCCTAAAATTTGAGTATTTTGAATGAAAAACGAAAAGAATTTTATTTTGATCTAAAACTTATATGTACATTTGAATATGGTCTATGTTAATTATGTTTTATGAATATGTCCTGAAGATGGTCTATTAGACCGAAACGTCCGACGTTGACATTATATTAACATTAAAACAGCATAATTGCATATCAGGATTTTTGTTTGTTTTTTTCTGTATATTTTTCTTCATATATATATATATATATATATATATATATATATAAATAATACAAATGAATGACAAAGTGGGAAAAATTGTGTGTTATGTGTTTTGTCCTCTAGAAGGATTTCATCAGACTAAAGTTAATGTTTTTTATGATTTAATTATATAATGTGTGAGACATTGAGAAGGAGATATAAAATTGTCAGCATCTATTATAATTAAATACAAAGAGGAAAAACTTTTTCTTTTTTTTCTCAAACCTGTCTGAATATGGAGTCTGTCCGATCCCATTCAGTTTCCCTATGCTTTTGTTTTTATCCCTTTTAATTATTGTTAAGCATTTTACATTGTGATAATAGAAGATCTGTCAAGAAAGGTGAAATATAAAATCTGGGTGAAAATTTACTGTGGCAGATCTAGCAATCAAAGCACTTTCTATGCATTTTTGCCTTAGTAAATTGATTTTTCTTTTAATTAGTAGCATTTTTCCGCTTTGTCATTCATGTGCCTAACATTATTCTGATATATAAAAATGTTTATATCATATTCTTAAATAATGTATAAGAAGCAACTGATAAAGGGACATGAATTGTGTTTAGTCAATTTTCATTACATTTACATGATATCTTGTAGAATTTTTTACTGATGTACAAAATGTCTAATAGGCAGTGTGACTTTATATTTTTTCTAGTGGGTATTTGTCGTTTACCTTTCAGTAGATCATTTTCTAAATATCTTAATGTTTCTGTCAATGTTTTCATAAAAATGAGTAAGAAACTAAAATTGAGCCTCTTATGTGTAAATGTCAATTTCCACCTTAAACCAAAAACTTAACTGTCATTTTAGGATCCAGATTGCCTAATTTTATCAAGGCTATTCTAACATGAGTTATTTTGCTAATAGTGATGTATTTTTGCTGTGTTATACAGGTTTAAAAATATCAAGAAAATGAAAAACAGTTTGTTATATTGAAACAATTAAACAATACTGATTGTATCACATTTTTATTGAGTTTTAATGAAAAAACAAATTCTAATACAAGAGTTCAACTGACAATGATTTTTATCTTTTGAATGTTTGTTCTTTGAAATATTTACCCAGAAAATTAAAAAAAAATGTTTCTTAAAAAACTTTTAATTTTTTATTTTTTTTTTAAAATTTATGGGAAAACACACCAGAGGAGACAAAAATTTTTATAAAAAAAAAAAAATTTTTAAATTTACACCATTTAGGAATTGGACAAAACCTTTTTGACAGATACTGAAGGTAAATTACAGCAAAAAAAAAAAATTTTTAAACCTCATTCAGCAATATAGACAGATATTTACATTCATCTCAGCAATATAGACAGATACTGAAGGATTACATAATACCTCATCTCAGCAATATAGACAGATACTGAAGGATTACATAATACCTCATCTCAGCAATATAGACAGATACTGAAGGATTACATAATACCTCATCTCAGCAATATAGACAGATACCTCATCTCTGAAATAGACAGATACTGAAGGATTACATAATACCTCATTTGAAATAAATTTATTTAAAATTTATCTAAAAAATCATATGCACCATGTAAAATAAATTACTAGAAAAACTGGACTGATTGTTTTGGTTATAAATTTTAGAGGAATCTTGGATATGGAAATATTTTTCTCCACTCCACATTCTATATACATTGAAATGATTTAGTTTTTATATATTCTTATTATTTATTGACTGAAATGCAAAAATAATAAAAAAAAAATTAAATCACTAACCTGTAAAAGATAATTTCATTTTATCTGAATCACGTTAAATAATAATAAATAGAAGATTATTCAAATATAGCAAAGAAATAGCTCTTATACCATATTTTTAATCATGACTTGTTCTAATCATCTCTTGTAATCCTTTCTTATTTTCTGAACCTGAGTTTAACTTTGAAATTATCTCCAAAAAGTAACTGATATATTTACTTCTTAAATAATCTCAAAACTAACTTATAGCTAACATTAATGTTATTCTAATTTGATCATAGGAAGAATATGTGCCTCTAATGGGTCTTTGCAAATGATGAAATTACAAATTCATTTTTTTTTATTTTCTATACAGCTTCTCAATTTTTCCCATATTCTCAGCTTTAATAAATTTTACAATGTCATAATATATGCAATAAAACATATATTAGGATTGTCTTTTAATTTTTTAATGTCTAATTCTAAAGAAGAAATAAAATAGAAAATTTATAAAACTGAAATAAAAGTATAAGATTTTTCTTTTGTAATTCTATCTTTGAAATTAAAACCTTACCTATTTTTTTTTGTTTGTTTTCTGCAGATGGGTTACCAAAAAGGTAAAGGTTTGGGCAAATCTAGCCAAGGTATCACAGCTCCAATTGAAGCAGTAAAACGGAAACGCCGGGCTGGTCTGGAATTTGCAGGTCCTGAGAGAACACAACAATCTCTGAAACATTTCCCTGTAAAAGACTCTGATGAAGAAGATGAAAAGGATTTCAGGGAAGAACTCCAGCAATGGAAAAGAGAACCATCTTCTGTGAGTTTTTTTTTGGGGGGGGGTCAACTTTTTAGCAGTTGGAGGTGTTGCTTCTGTAGATATGCACTGACCACATTTCTTATAAAAGTACTTCAACAAAACAAATGCAAAAATGTCCAGAGTTTGCCATCCAATTGCACCAACTGAAATTAAAACTCTTACATTCACTTTTAAACATAAACCATTTTTATACAAGTTACTGAAAACACTGATTAATGATAACCAATCATATTGTAGCACAATACACTGAATATTCTATTCAATCTTGGTTGACTTAGATTTTCAAGGAAGCACCACTTTCTATGATTCTACTGAATTACCTGTTATATTTATCTTAATCATTTCACCCCAAGCAAAGCAGTAAAGCTACTAAGATGCAAGGGATTACTGCGTGTTAGAGAATATGAAAACAAAAACACTGTAAAGGAGAGAGAAAAATAAATGGATATCAATTAAGAAAACAGAACATAACAATTGACATTGCATATAAATTTTTGAAGATCAAAGTTAACTGGAAAGCAAAAAGCTGAAAGAGTTCCACAAGCAAGAAGTGTGAGAGAAGAAACTATTAGCATAGAATTTATGGTTACATTTAAACATTTCAACTGTAAAATGATGAGACCTAACTGCCAATTTAGTACTGCACTTAAATTCATAAAGTCTTTATTATAAAGAAAAGTTCATCAGAACAAGTACGAGGAAAATATTTAGAGAAAATCCACAGAGAAGCTTTGTTACAACAATGGGAAAGTTACTGAAGCTAAGATGAAAGGTCAGGATCAATAACATTGTAGATTCTTTATCAAGAATCTCTAAATATATAGCAGGAGCACCAGACAATATGTGACAATATTCAAAGCAAGGATGAATGGTACTTATTAAATATGTAAGATAGATTCTGGTGAGAAAACTTTGTCTAACATGACACAGAGCACCAACTTCTCTAGCATCTGATGTAGCAATTGATTCAATTTAATCTTTCCACTTCATGTCAGCAGAAAACATTAGCCTGAGAAGGCGTAATGAGTTACACTCCTAGAGATTAGCATCAATCATGTGGATGGAAGGCAAAAAGAGTTCTCTAAGACTAGTAAAAAGAAGTTTCGTTTTGGAGGCATTAAAATTATCAAGCCATTTCTTGCCCAAGTTAACAACAGATTGTCATCTCTGGGATCAGCTACCAATTTAACCTTATCAAACCAATCAGACTTACTATCAAGAGTAAATAGTTGCCATCAGGAAGGTCGTTGATAAAAATTAAGAACAATGTCAGTTTAAAGATAGAATTTTGGGGAACAGCTACATTGGTACAAAAAAGATCTAAAAGAGTGGTCATTCAAGATGACTTTCCTTACATTTTATATCACTTCCCTATTTGATGATGTCATCCATACAATGAAAATTGTCACTTTTCTTGCATAAGTCTACACAGTATTCATCCATCTTCTTGCATCTGATAATTTCATTAAATGATTTTCCTATTTTAGTATGAACCATTAAACAATACTAAAGTGGAACCTGAATAGTTTATGATAAAAGTTGACCTTGTTTTCCTTGTCACTTTATCTCACTTTATTTTGATTTCGTGCTGTTCACATTTTAATGGTAGAAGTGTTGTCAATTTAGATTTAAAAAAAAAAAAAATGAAAAACTTAGTCATAAATTAAAACTACTTCCTTTCAGAATCCCAACAACTTTCCAACTATTATTAATAGGTAATAAATAACAAAGAATTGAAGGGACTACAGGCAATATGACTATAGATTTGAACTCTGCCTAACTATGTATCTTTATAAGGAATTGAGATATCAGGTGCATAATCAAGTCTCAGTGAAAGCTACTCCTTTATTTTGATTTCATTCTGTTAACTTTATGCTCAAAGAGTATGTCAACCTAGAATATAATAAAAGACAACAATAAGATTTTTAAGAATGTATAAACTAATTTTAATTTTAAAATCTTTTGCAGGCAACTAACCGTAAGCCAAAATATATATACAAAACAGCCCAAGAAGTTATTGAATCTGGTGGATCCAGAAAGAAGAAATCCATTCAACCCAGTGAATTGTCCAAAGTGAAAGTTATTGACATGACAGGGAAAGAAAAACGAGTTCTCTCTGGTGAGTAATTTAATCCCTATGCACTCTTGCATGCAAACAGAAAAAGGAACATTCTAAATAGCATTTAATTATACATCATTCAATAAAAAAGAACAGCATTTAGAATTTGGAAGAACATAGATAAACTTCTGCTCTCTCTTGTGAATGTCAGAAGTATGCTACTTTATACAGATTGTATACAGTAAAGGATGTTCTTTTTATCATATTAGACTGGAGAGACATCATATTTGGATCATTCTATATCAACTCATTCACAAAAAGGTACTTTTTACATCAATCTCTCTCAATTCTGGTCAGACCTGTCACAATAGCAGGTATATATGCCAAAATTGAAATTCCCAGCTGGTGTACATTTGATTACTGACATACAAGATCATAAAATTGTGATATTTTTTGCCTTTTTTGCATAATATGACTGTTTTTAAACCTGTGCAACTAAAAATAATTATTAGTTAGATGATTTGTTCTTGTCTCATTTTAAAGAGAAAAATGAAACAGTTTATTAAAAAAAAGTCTGTTTTTGATGTTTAATTAAGAAAGACATACCTTGCCCTGCCTCCAGTAAATATTTGTACATTAATATGTTGAATAATAGAAGTCAAAATACCTAAAAGCCATAATTGGCCAACAATTATATGAAAAAATAGGTCAAACATTTAAAAAATAGTAACTTTTAGTCTGGTATGTTTGTTTGGTTGCTGAGGTTTTATTCAATATGATAGTCTTTTTAATTTGTCTTTTCTATAATATCTGTTCATGATGATTTCTGAAAGAGAAAATAAATTTTAACACTTTTTTTTTTTTTTTTTAATTAAAATTTGCTTTTTTATAATGGTTATTCAGCATAAGACATAAATACATGATATGAAACCCCAAATCATCACACATAACACCATTCATTTATTTTCCAGTTTATTATGTACTATCACCCAATTTTATTGCCAGGTTTCAAAAGACTGCTTCATAAATCATATACTTTAAGAATAGTCAGACTCACTTTTTTTACTTTTTTTTTTTTTGCATATTTTAATATGTCATGCTTATCTCCCTTTCCTCGAAGCCATGGCATTGTAATGACTTCTTGCCAATCCTTTAGCACTCAAACATTCATTTCCAATCTTCATAAGACATGTTAAAACAATCTCTCTTCCTTCCTTTAATAATCTCACATTCAATTTTACCTAACTTTGGTGCCTTTACATTTTTCATCTTCCCTAGTATCCTTGCTTCTTGTTTTATGTGCCAAGCCCTTTCAAGATGTAGGTTATCCTGGCTCTCCGCAACTTATTTTTTTGTTCTAAGTAATTATTCCCCTTTTACCATCCCTTTCAGTTCTTGTTCTGCCATTCATTTACACAAGCTCATTAAGTAGGTTACACCAGCTTTTTTTGCTTTCACTGTCCTGTGAGTGTTAAATTCTCTAAGCTCTTTTTCCTCATTATATGTCCTAGAAATTTAATTATCTCTTTTTGATTGTAAGCAAAATGCCAGTAGATATAGAAAAATCTATAAACTGATCCATGTTCTGTCCATGGTACTCTTAGTATTTGTTAGTAGAACCACATTTCTGTTGCTTCAAGTCTCTTCTTCATTTATCAGTAAATTATCCAGCCTTTGCTACTTTTTTTATTTTTTTATCCTTTCTTTTACTATTTACTCTCACTACACCCAAGCCTTATACAGATTCATTCACTTCTCTTAAATGTTATGAATAATTAATAGAAGCAAATAGCATATTTTAATTCTTACATTTCTTGACTGAAAATCTACTACAAGTTCATCCAACTGAATATGTTATTAGTTTATCTGGTTTATGACGATAGAAGGATTTGGGTTATGGGGACGAGGGAATGTGACTTTTACTTGTCTATTTTCTTATATCACTTACCAATAGCCATCATATGCAGCATTTACAAAACCATGTATTTTCTCCTTAGCTAAGACTTCTTCAGTAACTTTCTCAATATATGAATTATCTAATTAAGAAAATTGTTTAACCTTAAAAGCAGCACATGGCTTCAAACTATGTTATAATTTCTGTGTACCAACAACACCCCTTGTATTTGAATGTCTTTCTCAAAGAAGTTAAGTTTTCTCTTCATGCTCTTTGGTTAGTTGAAAAAATGACATTTTATTTTTTCAATATTCTCATTTTCAAATGTATAAACGTTTTCATTAGTCTTGCAGTAAAGTCATTGCAAACTAACTTTTTCAGTCAAGCTTTTAATTGTACCTCCAATAATATCACAAGGTCCTTTTCAATTACTTGTAAAATAAAATCTGTTCTACCTCTATCCAAAAATCATTCTAATGATGACAAATATTCAAAAAAATTTAACATTTCTTCTAATGTCCTGTGCACTCAGTTGAAAAGTAATTTTATGGATGGTTAAGATATTGTCTTTCAGGAATTCTGTCAAATGTTTCCAAAATAAATGTGCAACCCATTTGTTCTGGTTTAAGTGAACAATTTCATATTCCTTTTCATAATAGATAAAAAATGAATGTAGAGTTGTTACTTCATTTTTTTCAGTGAAAGCTTTGAATCTCATTGTGAAGAAGAAAGGAACATTTTCTATAAATTCACACATTACAAAGACATCAACATTTTTCCAATATTTTTTTTGTTTCATTTTTGTCATAAAGTCATATACCCAATCTTCTTTCAGTTCATTAGAGATGTTCGATATTGTAGCATACCTATGGCTGATAATGGGTATGCCCACATTTCCATAAATACAGTAGTGAATACTGTACATGGTCTAGAGTTGAAGATTCATTGTGGAATTCACTTGACTCACTTCTAACTAGTTGACTACTTCTTCTACACACTGCTGGTGAATCTTATATGTGTTGTTCTTGTCCTAAGTATTATCGTTCATTACCAATCTTTGTGTGATTACTCTATTCAGTAACGTTCCTTCCCTAGGTTACAACAGATATATTAATCTATATTAATTTCTTCTCATTCATTATTCAAACTGATTTGTATTGGTCCACTTGTTAAATATTATACTATCAATAAAGTCGTTTGCAGATATGTTCAGTAGAATCTCTTTTAAATCTGACAGATCTCAACATTGTTCATATAATCTGAGGCAGTGTTTATGTGAGTCAGCAGTATATTCCATACGATCAATAAAATGTCATAAATTTTAATAGGCATGTCATCATCTACTAGTTTTGTTCTTGTTCATTTTGATGTGAGTAAGTTCCTGTTATCCCAGCATTAACATGCTTCTTTGGACAAAATTCTGCATATTTACTGAAGCCCACTTTAAAACCTGATAAACTTCTTTTAAATTACAAAGTAAAAGATGTTTTTTTGTTTTTTTTTAAATGTATATTTCCTCTTTTATTATCTATGATGCTACAATAATCTTTACTAGCTGGCATTATTCTACTGGTGTCTTCTGAAAGATGTTTTAAGGACGTCAACCCTGTTTATCCACTCCTTGGATTTGCTTCTGAAAGGATACCTTTTTATTCAACCATTTTTTTTTTCGCAGTACATGCTGTATTCTTTGTTGTGTTAAATTTGCAAAAAAAAAAAATTCTAAAGCTACAATTTTTTGGCAATATAGTGAAGATTTTTATTTTTCATTTCTTTTAACATTTTATTGTAGAATTTTTATTTGATTTGATTTATTACATCTAAACAGTCTTCATCTGTTCCTGAAGGATACTTACCTTGTGAAATAGATGGCAACAAATATTTCCATTTTCTTTTTAACATTTTTTTCACTGAATACCACTCTTACTTTGGTTCATCTCTGTCTCTGACAAGCCCTCTGTGTACCAATCCTGTATCTCCATATTGTATTTCACTATCCACATGAATATCAGTGAAGAACTGTTGAAGATCAGGCTCGACTCCTCTCTGTTCTGATTATACTAGTGAAAGACTAAAGTCACTAGTGTACCGGTAAACTTAACTTCAACAACACTGATTAACAAGTGTAAAAATAACAAATTTTATTTTTGGTCCTATGAGTGATTAAGGTCATGAATATATAAACAAAAGGGATTTGAAGAAGTTTCCCTGTATAAGGAATTCTTAAGCTGAGAGGAAGAGGTTGACTGGCAGTTGCAGTTATGGCTAAACAGCCCAGAATCATTCAACCATTTCAATAAAGGCAGCTGATCGAGGGAGTTCAAAAAGCAGCATAGAGAACAAGTCTTTAGCTGACTGAGGCAACACGGTTATCCAGTTGGGAGAGTGTTGGTCTAATAATGGTGTAACTAATTCAATCTTTTTCTTCTCTTTTGGTGACAGCTTTTATGGGAATGCAAACCCCAATTTGACTGCTTTGATTGGCTAGCCAATAATAATGCTTGACCAATGGTCTTGTGTCATATACATAAGCAGGGGAAAGACCCCCCCCCCCCGCTCCACCAAGTACCCAATATGATTGGTGGTCATTTGACCTGATTATCACAAGTGTCATTGTCACCTCCATCTGATTGTGTGTCATATCCCTGATTAAAACAAACCTGACCTGTAAATATTTACTTTGTGTCACTTATTCCAATGAATAATTCCTTTATCAAATGAAAACAACACTTAAGTTCAACAGACCTAAGACTGTACCTAATGACAAAACCCACCCAAGCTCACAATTTCACCTCTTACACCAAAAAGTGACACAAATCTGAAAGTTCATGGTATTGCATTGTTTTAACAGGAAAAATATTTTTCCTACTTTAGAAATAAAAATTAGATTGCCAATCAACCTTTGACACCAGTCATGTTGTCATAGAATGCTTGAGTGTTTGTTTTCCAATGGAAACATTAGGATATCAGGAAAAGTTGTGGAAAATGTTATCAAATTCTTTTTCTCTGATTGGGTGTTCAAAATAAGAAGTGTGCATTTTCTGTTATGTGAATGAAACTTTAATGGAGACATGCTTTTGGCATAGAAATAAAGAAAATTTGCCTCTTGACAAGTATCACTGATAACATTCTAGTAGAATTGAAGTCTGTGCTTTGTTCAGTCTTC